TCATTGAATGACTGTGTATTGTGATCTGTTCGTCAGGTATAGGTTTTTCCCCACTGCGGTGTGCGACCGGACAGCAGTAAGGTGCACTGTCCACCAGGGGGCAGAAACTCAGTGTGTCCAGAGCTGAAAATTTTAAGACCACGCTACAATGAACTCGATTTGGCAGTATATTCCCTGTCTTATAAATCCTAAATCCATCTCATTCTGTTTTGGAAGGGAGATTCCTCATTCCTGGGCTATGAGGATCCTACAATCTCGGTTTCCTTCTCCATGAAGTCAAGCCACAATACAGGATTTGGCTGAAAGCAAACCAAGACGAAAGCTATACATTTTCAGTGTTGTTTTCTGAACCTTTATTCATGAATATGATTGCGATGTTGAACAAACATCAGTGTCACGTGAAAATAATTCCTTCCCCATAAATCAACTCAGGTTTTAATGTTTGCATTTACTGGCTTACAAAGTTTGGAGGTATCGCACTACCTTCTCCAAAGGTACTGCAACTAGCCGGAAAAGAATTGATATAAATAGATTATCTGTAAAAGAGGCACTTCTATGTACACCGTTTGTTCACACTTAATATCGTCTGCATATTTCTTTCTCCTTTTTAGGAGGTAGATCTACTGACGAGGTGATGGCAGTGAAGAGATATGCTCCCACCTGCATCCACAGTGTTGACCTCCTTCTTTCACTAGGAGGCTGGTATTTTTAAATCATGCACTGAACAATCCCGTAGAAGGTGTCCGTTTCATAGCAAAGTCTTAACAAAAGCCTGCCTGCGCAGACCGTTATTTTACAAGAGCAAGCAGGGGCGATCCTTGTATTGTAAACAGCAGCCACAGGAGTCTCTAACGTACAGTACAGGTGTCCTTCTGCTTCTCACATCGCTGGCAGTTCTGCTGGAGGCCCTCGTGACCTCTCGCTGTCCTCTTTTTTTTTTTGCAAGCTGGTTACACAATGTGCTTGGTGTAAGAGTGGTCAGAGGCACTTCCGTGGTCAAACGAGTTTTGAAACGTAGCCGCCGTCCAGTCGCGTGGTGAAGAGGGGTCACACGTTTAGAATTTCAAACTCCTCTTCCGATTCAAACAGCTTGTCAGTGGACTCGATGAACTCTGCAGACAGGAAGAAGAGGGTGTGAGGCATTTTTATGTCCGGTCCTTCGCTCAAAAATGAAAACAGTTCGTTGCGATCGACGCATTCCCTATCGCGGCGAAGAGTGGATGTTCAAAAGTTTCAGCCTACAGCGGAGTCTACAGCGGAGTTGCTGAAAACGATTCTCTGAGGTCCTCCAAAAAGCACCTGGATAACACTGTCAGATCAATAAGCAATTTTTCCATTTAGATTCGCCAGATATACTGTTGTACTATACATGACAGTTTAAACTTTGAATTTGGAATTACCAGTTCTGTGCTTATCATATCATGGCTCACAGCTATAGACTGCAGCTGCATATTGGGGACTGAGGGCGTGTGGACAGATGTTCTGGGCATTCTGGGAATAAAGGGAATGTCCTACATCGGCAGACGGAAGGAACTGAATCCTTTTGGTCTTCAACAGAGAAGATAACAAGGTTGGACAAGCATTCAAAATCTTTAAAAGCACTGACAAATTCAAACAGGGTGGACTTCAGAATCAACAGTGAAACACAAACCAGTTAAAACTAAGAGGAAGTGCTTTTAAATCTAAGAACAGGAGGCACGTCTTTACACAAAGCATTGAGGGGTCTGGAACCAATGACGTTCTAGAAGCTGGTAATTAGCTCCTGTCAAGAAAAGTATGGATGGGATTCTCAAATCAAGCAACTGATAGCAACCAAACAAGGAAGATAGGCCAAATGACCTCCTCTGACTTCTGCTGCAGCTTTCTCTAGGCTAGCACTGTACCTGCTCCTGTTGTCTGAACGTCGGGCTTGGTGGGAGGGACGAAGGGAGGCCAGTGGGGAGGATGTTTCTCGACCAGCTCAAACATCCTCAGACTTCTGTTCTTCAAAATATCCTATCAAGCAGAGCAAACGAACGGTCTGAGGCTCCAAGCTTTTAACCAATGAACTTCATTCGAGACAGAGCTTAGGCTGGACCCTATGAAAAGCATAGATCTGTTCCCAATTACAATAATCATGAGAATGTTTTAGGACTGACTGTTGTAAGCTGTCAGGCCAAGCCATTTACAGACAGGTTAAACCAGAAAACAAATTTTATGCAAACATAAAACAATAACAAAACCACACACTTCCCTACCTTCTGTACACCACTACACCATGTGTCAAAATCTTCTTCCTCCTTGCAGAAAAATCCCTGAAAGGAACACAAAACATTGACATCAAGCCATTCCAGTTGTTGGGGTGCTCAACTCCAGTGCTATAGGAATTTTGCCCGTCTACCCGGACTGGAACTGGGCTCCCCAGAAAGATGAGGCTTCTTAGTCTGATACAAGATGAAACTCAAATTTCAATGTGTCTGACTAGAACCAGTCATCATCCTGGCTGCAGGCCTCTGTATTATTCCTGGAAACAAGGAGAACTAGTTAAATCACATGAAGGAAATGAACAATGATTTCTTTGGTTTTCATGTCAGCTGATGACTAAAACAAGATGATGTAATTTAATAAAGCCATAGTCTCTGCCTGGAAGAAAGCCAAGGCCAACAACAGCAGAGTTTGAACATTACAGTTTTAATTAAAAAAAGCACATTATAAAATCAAAAAGAAGCCTTCAGATGTCTAATGATTACCAGCTGACAAAAGAATAAATATCAAAGCCAAACAGCTCCATTTTATAGCAAAAACCTAGAACTTGAGCACTGCCCCTCTACCTATTGGAGTGACTCTCTCTCTTGATATCCATACCTTATGAGTGGTCTTACATTCTTTCACAGTTTCTTCAAACACTTCTACAATTGATTACATTGACTTTCAGTATCTCTCATACTTTATATTCCTCCATTGCCCAGAGCCCTGACCCCTGACCTCTCCCTTCCCTACTTTCAGCCTGCACATCTCCCACTCCTATCATTTTTTACATGATCTGCCCTTTCCTTTACAGCCTGCTCCATTCAGCTCCTTGCCAAGGTCCTCAGTCTTTTTCTGCTCACAAGTTCCCGGCTCTTAACTGCATGGTCTCTCAAGTCCCTCATGTCTCCTTATATCCTCTCCTTATAGCCCTGCTGTCGGTACAAGACCACACTGCTGTCTCTGACCTCTGACCTCTGACCTCACAGCTCCTTGTCAGGACCCACCTGTCCAGATTGCGCTCATAGTCATTACCTCATGCTGCTATTACTGTCCGTTAGTGTTTATTTTGCTTATTGCAGGCTATACTTTCAGAACCTGTGATTTCGCTTTATTGAAATACATTCAATTTAATATTTTTATTTTTCTATATGGTTCAGTTATGCCACATTTCTCTCTTCAGACCAGTTTACACTTCATTGCTGCTTACAATGTAAGGCACCATCAAAAATGATGTCAGATACACCCATAATTCAAAATATTTTGGCTAGTGTGTTATAAAGTGTGTGGGTTTCCCATGAGCACCTTCACATGCAGGAGTGACGCCAATGTCACAAGAATTATGAATGTGAGGTGAAGCTCTTACTAAGGCCACAGAGGGGTCAAGGTTCATGACCTTCATCCGGCGGGGAGTTCTCTGAGAGTGATAGCTCTGATCGTCCACACTGCCACCCTCCTCTGGCTCAACTGCCGTCTGTGTAGTGTGAGGGTCCAAATAGATCAGCTCCTCTCCTACAGAAACCAGAGTAAAAAACAGCTAAGGCCTAGAAAACTGAGTGCTACACTTAACCCTTACAGGCTGGAGATTTACAGGCCACTCCATGTTTCCACAATCCTTTGGGGTTATTCTGTTATTTTCAAATGTTACACATTCCAGTTACCCACAACAGCAACAACATACTTTCAGGCTTGTTCATTTACTGAGAATCATAATAAACAAAATAATAAACTGCTCAGTCTAAAAAGTCTGAGTTTTCCCACTACAGTAAACCTATCATTCAGACACCAAATTATCAGAGAAAAAACTGCCCTGAAAAAAAACAACTTCAGACCTATATTTTAACAGCCATTTTGATTTTTTTCTCTGTGACCAACACGTAGCTGAAAATGTCCAGGTCTGGTTTTCATACCATACCATCACTTTCAGTGCTGGGACTCATGTCCTGAAGAGGGAGGAGATACTGCAGTGACTCATAGCAGCTGCCCATGGAAATCCAGTGTTAACACACTTTCAGCTTTCTGGACAGAATAATTCAGAAGCAGCAGGGAAGCACCACTGGTGTAGACCCTCTGCTACAGCATGAGCTTTCAGCTTAAAGGAAGGGCAACTGGACATCTGCTATCTCTGAGCTCACAAATCCCACTGGGAGTCCAGATGGAGAACACTGGCAGGCTAACAGGACGCTGGCAATAATGCCAGAGGTGAGAGGAGTAATGAACAGAACCTCCTCCATACTCTCTGTAGGATTTCAAAATAATGTTTACCATGTGGCTATCCACTACTCTAATAAATATTACCACAACTAACAATACCATGAATTCCTTGCATTTATATAGCGCTTTTCACCCCAAAGCATCTTACATATAGGAAGGAGACCCACATTACCCACCACTGAAGTGATGTTACGCATAAGCAGCTCTGATACAATTATTATTCTATTGGAATAATAATACACATGGAGAAGGCAGGAACTGCTTCAAAAGTTTAGTGGAAAACTTTAGAGAGCCAGACTGCCCCTACTCTAACAAACCCTGCCTCAGGGTGTGCGATGATCAATAAGTTAGGCCCTTGGTTGAAGGGGAGACATCATGTACAGCACAGTGTCCCCAGTCACCACACTGAGGCATTTATTTCAAAACTGATCCAGAGAGAAGAGCGCCACCTACTGGTCCTTTACAGGAGCAACCTCCTGGATTTCCTTAGAAGTCTCTCCTCCCAGTACTGACCAGGCCCAGCCTTGATGAGCTTCTGAGATCTAATCAGAAAAGGCTACAAAGTGCTAAAGCTGCTATCAAGTAACACTTGCACCTTGCTTGCGCGGAAAAGGCTTAAGAATATATACAAACTTCATTCCTGCTTACCAATGAACCCAATGAAGTAGTACGCAAGGTTGGGTTTTCCTCCTAAAACACCTAAGGACTGTGGCATCTTGAAGCACTCCTGCAAGAAATACAAGTTTTATTTGAAAAAAAATTATTGGTAATGACAAGGCCGCTGGATTATTTTCATTGTCTCTAAACAAACAGAGCAAACAGATCTGCACTGAGCTGTAACTAGTAAACAGACTTTCAGTATCAGTGCAAAGTTCTGTCATAACCTTTACAAAAACCCATTGATGTTGGTTGAAAAGGCCAATGCTGCAGTGTAATCATAGCCTTTAAAGAAAATATATAAATGTTCTTTACCACTGCAGGTTCTACAAGGTACAGACAGCTCTAAAGCACTAAACAACTGGTACTGGAACTAAACTAAACAGCTTGGTTCTTCAGTGTGAGGTACGTTGCATAGACAAACACAAGAAGATAACATTTTCCACCAATAATTTGCTTCTGTGCTTCATTAGTATAATTCGTAGATGATCCAGGACCTCATAAAATCCCAAATGAGCTACATAGTACCCATATCTTATTTTCCCCTCTAGGCTAGATAAACTCCTAGGGATTAAGATATCAGTGATTCCAAACCTGGCTGACGTGTTCAATTTTCAGATTCAAATAGCTGTGTACTGTATATGTAAAACCTATACAGTTGTTCATTTAAATTTAGGGAAATTAAGAAAGCATTTACTGCCACTTTGCTTGCCTGCCTTAGTACTTTTTGCCAAAGGACCACAAAGATCAGGTCTCCATAACACAACCTGGTGGTCTGTGCCTCTGATCTATAACAATGTCGAAAGTTATCCCTCCTCCCCCAGCCCTGAACCCCACAGCGGTCCAATTCTAATTTCTCTCATCCCGGATTCTATATGAAATCTGAAAGAGATGAGGACATCATCAGCTCCTTCAGGATTAGGGAGAATCAAATTAAACTGGGGAGGCAGTGTGGAGCAGTGGTTGTGGTTCTGGACTTGTAAGTGGAAGGTAATGGGTTTAGAGCCCAGATGGGACAGTGCTGTTATAACCGTAATGAAATTTTCCCTTTTGTTCAGCGCAAGAAAAAGTGCATTTTAAAGTGGAAAAACCATGATGCAAAAATACTGAATGGGATAAACTGTGTGTCTTATGAAAGTGAACAGAAAATATTTCCAAGCCATCTCTCTCTTCCTGGCACTGCTGCTGAACAGTAATGGGCTGTAAGGTTTCTTCTTATGTGAGATCATGTGGGAAGACAGGTCCTTTCTCTCGCGCGCCTGCAGCTGTGAAGTACCTTCAGAGCCTGGATATAAACTGGGTTGATGTGGTTTATGCCCATGCGGAGAGGTATGATGAGCAGGAGTGGTTTCCAGGCAGAGTGTTGGTGTGAGCAGGACCCTGGAGTGCCCCCTGGTGGCTGTGCACAACACTGCCCCAGCACATCGCTCATCGTCTGCAGCTCACTGGCACCCACAGGACTGGGCCTTATACGGCTCCGACAATGCTGCTTGCAAAGTTTTTCTGAAACGGAAAGAATTGCCATTCTCTGGAGAAGGGTTTTGGCTTTCTACAGTAAAAATGGATGGTTTTACTAATACTATCGTTTTCTTGGTCACTGTCATATAAGTTACTTGTGTCATTTAATACTTTAAAGGCTTAAATAATTTTCAGATATGAACAAAAAAGGCTTAAGAAAATGTCTTTTAGCTATCCTACTATCCCAGAAATCTGTACAGTTCTCAATTGCAACAGACCATTTTGCAAAAACATAAGAAAAATATGTTTGGGTCAGAATTAGACTTGGGAATGTTTGCTGAAGTGTTACTCGAGTACATGATTGGAACTGGAGTTTTGTCTCCATATAATGAGATCTGACATGACGCACGTCAGCTCTTGAACACGACAATACACGAGTGACAGGATCTGAAAACAAGGAGTGACCGGATCTGAAAACAAATAAGGAAGCTGAAAGTGAAAATAACAAGATTCAATCAGCTTTATGGCATCCATAAAAATGGAATTATTAATATCACATAAAGCACCGTCAGAATTTTGGAAATTAGAATATGTGAGAACAAATAAAAAGGGATTACAGTGTTTATAGCACCCATAAAAACTACGGTACCATGATCAGTACAGTTTCTCATGATTTTACAATAAAGAGATTTGCTTAAAGTTATTTAAATGGGTGCATTTCTAAGAACCTTCTAAGCACTTTACAAACTTTAACTGCATACTGCCAAGAGAAGCCAGGTTGAAAAGCTTTGGTGATGGAAGCAGAATTTTGTCACACAAAAAAATTACTGAATATGGCAGTAAATCAACAGCTATTCGTGCGAGATCTGCACCACACGCAGGGTACTAATCTCCTCACAGAAAAGCTTTGATATACGAATGTAAAGTTTTGGAAAGATTTGTGGCTTTATTGATGGACATAATTTACAAACAAAACAAGTGGAGGCCTACCACATGTACATAGCTCACCTGAGCTAAACTGTTAGACAAAAAAAACTTACAAACATGTACTTGTTGTCATGGCTACCACCACACCACCCACTCTGTTTGCTGACACCCGATTATGCTGAATAAACCAATAACTGGCTGTTTCTTTGGACGCCTCTAGTGGTCACCTTTTGTCACTACCAACCCCTGCCCAAACCAGCCCGAGCAATCAGTTCTATTTGCCAACTACAGTGGTGTCCTGCTATTAAACCATTTTTTTTACACACAGGAAAAATACTAATCCTATTATTTACTACAAACAAGAACTGTTAAGACTTACTGATATCTTCAATAACCACAGTGTTGTCCATGGAAACATATACCGCCAAGGAATTCCAGTCGTCAAACAAGGCCAGTTTCCTGAAAGAACAAGACTTATTAGCAAAACCATATCAAACTCCAGTCTCCAAGAGCTCTTATTGCCTTTGGAATTCATCAGCATTCCCCTGAGAACTGTTTTCATTCTCGGAGACTCAGTGTGCACATCTTGCAGTATAAATCATAGTGACACTTTTTCTCTCATATAATTTCTTTTTAACATATGTTCCTAATTAACTTCAATGTGATTTACTGTAGGTGATTTTGCATTCACAACAAATGGCAAACTAATGTAAATATTTGTCGAAGTTGATACTAAGACGGTCGTTAAAGGGGAGCTGCAGTCTTAATTTCTCAGACTGGTTATTAATTCTCTCTGGAACCCGGAGAAACATCACCCAAGATAACTCAAAGCAGCATGTCCCACACAGTCTCTTGTTCCTGAAGAAAAGAATCACTAATTTCCATTGAGAAATGGATTGCAGTGGATTCCAACAGTAAAGGAAGGTGTGATCCCATACACTTCATGTTAAGTCAAGGTGGGATTCCACCAACTACAAGTTAAATTCCCTGGGTGTCTTTTGGCCTCTTACAGAGACAAATAAGGATGAGGATGCTCTGAATACTCCACATTGGTTCTTTGACCAAGACCAGAGTGACGGAAAAACATGGCCAGCATAGAAGGTTAAGGTGCCTCTTACTTTAACACCTGTGCGACTGTGTTTGGTCCATACCACTCTCCCACTGGTTTGCCTTCCCCAACTCCCATCTGAGCTGCAGACATAGAAACAAATGGAGCGCGTGAGCTGAGCCAAGGCAACATTCTCTCCCATACCCACACAAGAAGGCCAGCTCTGTTCCTGCAGGGCAGTAGTGCATTAAGCCGGCGTCACGCTACAGGACTCAACATGACCTCTAGTTGGAGAGCATGTCAAATTTAATGACTGCGGTTAGTGAATCTCGCTTCCTTTTCTGTTCTAGAGGGTGTCAAATTATACGACTAGGAATCGCAGGGGGTCACTAATGACACGATTCCCCCATGCCTTTTCGTCACAGTTCCAAATCTCGTACTGCGCCGCGAAAGTATCGCGAGGTCGCCTCATTTTGGCAGCCAATCAACGTGGAGCACCGCAGGAAAGTCAACAAACAACAAGGAGAGCAAGCACGTAAACATCTTGAAAAATGTAACACAGACATTGTGTTCCACAAATAAACATCTTCAAAAATATCATTCTTCTTTATAAATATTGAACAAATTTACAAAAATAAAACAGTTAAAAATATAAAACACCCTTAACACAAATATCGTAAACAAATGAGTATTGCGCTATAATGTGTAATATTATGTAATATATAATCTCACAAGTACACATCTGGCTCACTGCCCACCCCTACAACTTGCGATTAGCTACGTGAAAATCAAACCAGTTTGATTTTATCGTCGCGGGTCACAGAGAGTCGTAGGGGCTGTTAAGAGCCCTGTGACTGAGTCGTTGGGGGTGTCACACTACACAACTGACAGTAAGGGGCACGCGCTGCGACTCTCTACAACTCGCTGTGATTTTCTTACGATTATGTAAATGAAGGCTAAGACTGAAAATCCTAGGAAAAGGCGTGTAGTGTGATGTTGGCATTAGGTTTTACAGGTTTCTGGGGCATGTTCTGCCAAATTACTCTGAGATTTTCACCACATCGCTAACAGGCTTGATTGACGTATTATTGTTACAGAAGATGATGACGATCTAACACCTGACGACAAGTAAGGATCAATTAAGGACTACTTAATAGGGAAGCTGAGAGGGCTGGCAGGCTTTTTATCTCCTGAGGGCTGTTCCAGAGAGGAAATCTTTGTGTTTTATTTTTGAGGCTAAAAAACTATATCTGGAGGAGTGTATTATTGTAGGAGTGTATCCTGAGGAAATGCCTTTTGGATGTTTTCTACTCGAAAGCAGGTTATTTTTCTGTGACTGAGTCTTTTGTTTAATATTCTGGCCAAACGCATAAAAAAAGCTTTGTCTGGAATAAATCTCAGGCTGTCCTATACACTACAGTATGTGCTTGCCAACTCACACACTGTGAAACATTCTGCAGTAATTTGTTATAAAGGCAATTGAAGTATGAGGCCAAAGTAAATTTAAAAAGTAGAATAGGCATGGCAAGGATATTTTTTGTGTCCTTAGTTGATTTAAATGGTCTTAAAACAATTAGTGACATAATTAAAGACTGCTCTTCAACAAGCAGAGGACATCCCTGAAATTCCAGTCCTAATTCTAACTAAATAACAACTCTGCCTTGGATACTTTATAAAATTATAAAACATAAAATGTATCTGGAATGCTCCACAGCCAGACATAACCAATTAAATCCAACCATTATACAGGTGTACAGTGCCTCCACGAAAAACCTAGCTACACTAATGTGTACACAAGCTAGGATGTATAGACGTGTATGCATGCAAATCCGTATCTTTAATACTGCTTTTGGCCCTAACTAATGTACTTTATGACTGCAAAGCCTAGTTATGATGACTTGTTGCATTGTTTTATAGCTAAAATAAGCAACTGATTAAAAAAATGTTCAGGTTGACTCCCTGTGTGACTCCATGTGTGACTCAAGCACGCTTGGTCCTCCTGCTGCAGCTGCTACACTATATGTGCCCCTGCTTGGGGTAACAGGCACAGTTGCACAATGGCAAAGCCCCGGTTAGCATGCACCCTGGTGCACTAATTGAGAGTCTTATTGGGCTATATCTGTGGATGATGCGCGTGTCTAATTCAGGAGAGAATGCACCTGAGCAAGGGTGTCGAACTCAGTAACTGGAGGGCTTGGTATGGTCCGGGTTTTGTATGACCCGAGCTCTCAGTTACATAGCCAAATAAATTACTTAACTATAAGTGATTATATTAGGTCTAATTGAATGTTAAATATAATTGTGAAAACTTCTAACCAGGATGGGAAGTTTATTATAGGTAACTACATTTAGCACAGTGTATTTTTTAGTAGTCAACTGTAAAGAACCTTTAAGAAAAATACACTGATCTCTGCTATTACGCGGGTTTGCAAAACGCAAATTGACACATACGCGATTGGTAAATAGGGGAAAGATGTGTAACGCGAAATTCACGTTGGCTCATACGCGATTTGATCCCCGACATGTTTACGTTTTGCGTCACGGAGTTACACAACTGAATGCGGAGGTCCGCGGAGGACCGCCACGCCACACATGATGCTCAGTTGTGCTTTGTTTTGGAAGTGCCAATTGGAAGATGCTCCTCAATTTTCGTGCCATTTTTACCAAATCTTCTGCATTGCCGTAAATAAGAGCAGACAAGGTGACAAGAATGTGTCTGCGAAGCGTGCTGGTGATAAAATTTCAGATGGTGAACTAGGTAAAGTCCTAAATTTACTGTAGTATTTTTTTATTTATTATGAATTTAACTGTGCCAACATTTTTACTAGGATAATTATTACATTTGCTAAAGCTTTGGTTAGGCATTTGGTTAGGTTTTGAGTCGTCTGCTCCTTACCCTATTTTTCCCATTAGCCCTGTTTGCATAACACAAGGCTTTACAGGAACGCATCTATGGCGTTATAGCAGAGACGCCTGTACTTTAACATGCAGAATTTAGAAAATAATTTGGTTGACTGTGTAATTGACTACAATCCAGGACTACTAGACTCTCCAGGAACTGAGTTTGATGCCCTGCTCCAGCGTCTTCCCTGGAAGCCATTGGAGCCTCTCACCCATCTGGTGAATTGAATAGCAGCTATCCTTCCTGTCCAGGAAGCAGTGCAGTATCCTCTGGTATTCCTCCGGATGGCTCCGATTTTTCTCCCACCTCCAACCTGCAACAGGACAGTGCGGAAAAGCATGAGCATCCACCATGGAATTGGTTCGTCCAAAAAAATCCTTTCATTCCTTTATACTGTACAGTATGTGTATCTGAATAGCATTTGCCAGGGCTGTGAAATGTTTTTGTTCTTTACAAAAGTTAAGGCAAACGACCGTCAACAATGCCAAATAAATAACGAGTAACCACAAGTTGAAAAGAGTACGTACTCTGATCAACGTTCCAGAAAAGATGGATATTTCCACTTCATGGCTGTCTGCCGGGCTAAACTGTGCTGCCTGTTGTGTTCTGTGCATTCCTCTGGATTTGAGTCTGTATTTTCCCACGTATGAATACTGTGTCATACACTTCAACTGTTTCCATTCCATTCATCTGGAAACAGCAAGTTTGGAAGGCTAGAAAATTCTAGTACCTCACCTTTTGTACTGCTCTGTTTTCATCATTTCTGTTGAATCTGAAAATCAGCTGTGAAGGAACTTGCATCTCCATGGCATAAGAAGTGCTTATTAGTGTAAAAAAAATAAATTTGGATTGTAACCTATTGGGTGGTAGAGCTCTTATGTCTCTGAGGAACTATTTTGTTCTTTGTCATGTTTGTTGACCAGTACATATTTTGGATATACTGTACACCTAATAGTGAACACCCTCAATATAAGGTTCTTTTTGGGTCAGGAAATAAAAGCAGCCTGTGCCCTTGTTATCATCCTGGCTGCTCTGTCCCTTCCTGTTCGGACAGCAGCTGCGTACAGTATTTCCATGGAAGCAGGATGAGATTCCTCAGGGAATGCTCTGAACCTCACTACGGTTACTGAAGAAGAGGGTCTGTTGGCATTAGTGCAAAAACATGAGGCCATAACACACAATCGCACCTCCCTTCCAGTGAACACCGCCATGCGAACTCCTATAAGCCACACCACAGCTGAATAATCATCTACAGAGAAGCCCAGAAAGACGGAAGAACGAGAACACCCACATTCTCGCTGTGCGTTGTTTTGGGAAGACTAGCTACAACCACAAAAGAACCTCACCTTGCAAAGTTTCACAAGCCAAATCTGACCCCATATCTCTAAATTCTCTATTGGTCTGGGAAAGAAAGAGGCAAGGAGCTGATATATTTAGAGTGACAATGTTCGAATGGTTATGCATTTTTGGCGATGTGAAACTCAAGATGAGCCATTTGATAAAGTCTCAAATCTCTGTAACATGCCACGGGTAGATGACTAAATCTATTTTAATTTCCCGCAGGACTTTTTTCAGTTCTGCCACAGGAAAAAAAAAGGTGTGAAATGATCGGTGCCCAACTGCACAGGATAACCGACAGGTTTAATGCAACTTCAAAAAAACGTTTTCAAGAAACAAATGCCAGCAATATTATTTCTGTTCATCTAAAATATAAGCTTTGCAAGGGCACAAACCTATTCATATCACATGTTAGTATTTGATAATTATTTACTGTCCCGGTAGAGGCAGCAGTTTTAGTCAAATAAAACTCAGACGGAAGACCTACTGTGGGTGGTATTTATACAGTTATACACAACACAAATATGCTTCAACAAACAGCATTCACACTTGCCCATCTAAATCTCATTACAGCACAGTTTCTTACTCACCTCTGCCTAAATGCTGGCACACCAGAGCCTGAGCTAAAATCATCTGCCCACAGCGCAGCATGCATCCCCAGCCAGCGTCAGTGGAAGGACCAGTTCCACCTAGGAGAGCGAGTCCACACTGTTAACGATGCGCATGGACACGTCTGAAGACGCAACATCTCAAACCTCCACGCAGAAACACTTAAGAACATAAAAAATGTCACCAGCGAGAGTAGGCCTTTCTATCCATACAGTCCACTTGGCAGCTAGTAGCTAATTGATCCAAGCCTTTTCTTCATGGATCATTTTGAAAGAAACCTAGATTTTAGCTTCAACAACAGTTCCATGTTTAACACCAACTAACCTTTGAGTTCATTTACCATCAACGTCCACTTACCTAAGAAAATCGACAAGACAAGATGGATGGATGTTTGCCTGTTATGCCTTCTGGCATGTAGGGGCAGCAACATCCTGTTGCTGTTTCTGTAAACATTAGTTTTTTTATGGGACAGAGTTGTTAGCCTTGTGCCCAACCTCCAACAAGGAAGACCTGGCGCCCAACATGGGACAGGAACCCACTACCCTGAGATTGTGAGTCTCACACTCTACCAACAGAGCCAGCCGGGGAAAGATGAGAACAGGATCTGAATGTTCTGTTAGGATGGGTTACTTCCTTTATTTTCCCCCCAGTGTGGCTCTGATGCAGACAATGAGCTGACCATCATCACAAACATGCCTATTGCTGGTCCTGAAAATGATGGGGCTAATTGGTTCCATTCCTGATGGTCCTTGTTGTTCAGGAAAAAGAGAACCTGGCCCAGTTTCATACTGCTTCCCTACAGCTGGCGTGGCCTGGCTCAGAAAACTCTATCTTCTGCTAAGAAACTCCACCTTCTGTAGATTATGTGACAATTCACTTACCAATCGGAGAAAATTTTTTCCTATATGTAAACCACAGTCGAGACCTGACATCTGACAGCAGTTCAGATTTTTCTAGAAGAGAAAATAAAAAGTCAATTTTGGAAAATTGTCCAAACTCCATTTCATAGGACGATCATTGCTATACATGCCAGAGACGCCAAAGCAAACAAACTCTGAGCAAAGTGTCAAAATATGTGTCAGACTGTCTTCCAGATTACACAGTCTGAGGATTCACATCTCCATGTCTCTCTGAATGCACACCTTGCTTTGTACAGTATGTACAGGCCAAGCATACAAAAGACCAAAGAGCAGCAGTCCTGAGGTGAGAGGACATGGGATACATCAATTAGCATTGTTTTTATCTCTTCTCAGGAGCCTGCACAAAGCACCTCTAGAGGAAACATCTTAGGGACTGAATATATCTGTACTTTATATCCCAGCTCTCTGTGAGTTGAGGAGGAAGCATGGGGGTACATTTAAAATGTCTTTAATCTGATTTTGGTCCTCTCAATTGTGCAGGATTAACTTTTGAATAGTTTGAGTAATCCCGTTTTTACAAACCTCACTATCACATCCTTGAGGTATTGGTACAAATAACACTGTAAATCTAAGGATGACTGTATGCAATTGGATTTTATTGAAACCAATTCCAAAAACATTTATTTAAACTATATTCCAATTATTTGTCAGACACTAAGATAACTGAGTGATGTTAGCAGACAGCAGTGGATAATGATGATGATGATCCTAACAACTGTTTTTCTTTTAACTTCAATGATCATGCAACTTTGCAACTCCTGAAAAGTAGAAATGACAAAAACCAGACGTAACTCTTAATGTGCACTGTGACTAGACCCTTACCTGTTCGGATGTCATAATCTTTTCCTAAAATCCAGACGGGCTCCTTTGTATCAGGCAGATCTTCAAGGAGGTCTGAGAATACATTGATCTGATTTTCATACTTGGCTAAAACTGGGAGAAAAAAAGAGAACAAAAAGTCAGAAAAGAAAGCATTTGCCAAAGGCAAACAGGGTTTAGTTGGCGCGGGAGAAAGGGCAAAGAACTGAAAGAGCTGATTTCCATGGGGATTCCTGGATGAAGAATCTTGCTCTACATCTGACACACTATGCGGAGGAAGACTCCGAAAGTTTATGCTCTGTCCTTTAGAGAAAAGTCCTGTTACCATTGACATCATCCCCTAGGCTAGACTCTTAAGGTGTCCAAGGAAGTAGCCAGTTAAAACTGACAGACTCAACTTTCCAGACAAAAGCAATCCCATCCACCCAGTGAGAACAGACATGTTTGCTAGTAGAGAGTAACACAGCTAGCAGAATAAGACCTGAACACTGATGTCTAAAGGATAAGCACTGACCTCACTAGCCAGTTTCTGAACCTGAAGGCCTGGCCGTCTCATGCCTGTATCACAAAAGACTATGAGAAGGGTTACCAACGACAGGAGACCATTCAGCCCATATAGACCATTCAGTACTTAGTAGCTCATTCATCCAAGAAGCTCATCCAGATATTTCCTGAAGAAAGCCAGATTATCAGATTCACCAACATGGCCTTGTAGCTCGTTCCATACTTCCTTAGCCCTTCGTTGTGGTTTTAAATGCACTTTCACATACAGTAGTTTCCATTTGCATCATCAAGTGCATGTTTCACTGCTCAATAGCTACATCATTGTGGTCCTCCCTCTCCTTGCTAGATAAAGGAAACATCTCTCCACAGATAAACCACACACATGGTCAATCTGAACATTACGAATCCAATTATACTATAAAGTAGCTTTTCCCATTAAACCCTTTGCATCTCTTATCCAAAACCTGGAGTAATGTTCCAATGATAAGAAAATGCTTAGCAGACTGAAAAAAGAAATCACAGATATATTCCTATTTATTTAAGCCTCCAGTGGCTTGTAACAACTTTAACACAAATGAAAATAAGAGGGAACAATGCTTTCTGTATATGAAGTTATAACAAGAAGGTTAGGGTATCACTGAAAAGCCTGGAATTGTGTAAAATGTAAGTATCGAAACATTATCTTTTAGAAAGAAAACAAAGGATCAGGAAAAGCTTTGGGCACCATGCAATTCAGCATCCTAATGAACTACCATAGAGGAAACGGGTGTGATCTTGCTGGAACAAATCAGTAGATTATCTCATAACAAACAGTCCAAATATGTCTACTGTGCCAGAATTCCAGTTAGAGAATTCCAGTAAACTCTTACACAGCAGTGTTAAAATCCTGGAAGTCCATAGTTTGGAATCAAATTGATTTAAGGAAAGGTTTATTGAGACTGAGAAATCTGATTCAAACCACTGCTTCATGTTCAACTTCAATATCAGTACAACAGGATGTACACAGTATGTGTAAGCCTGTTATAATGCTACCAGGCAGTAGCTACTAGTATACAGTGCCCACCAGTCTAGAAACTGGCTAGGATAGCTCAGAGTGCTGCCATAGCTATGGGAACTACACCTCCCATAAACCCACTGGGTGACTTCCTGACGCCATCTACATCATGGGTTCCTAAGATGACTGGCCAGGGTGACCTCCTGCAGGTCCCACCCAGCTCTGGTACTTTCACTGGTGGTGATCTGATGTTACCGGCACACGCTTAACTCACACAGGATTCCTAATTTAAAGGCTTATTTTTTTAAAAAATAGAAAATATCACAGGAGGATTTCCATTTTTAAGAGAATGGCACGGGACGAGAGTTCTGCAGCTGGTAGCGAGGAACTATCAGCCTGTGTGAGGACATTACTCTTGACACCTGTGCCACTACCTCGTCACCTGGCTACATATACAGGACTACGAAGGTAAGATGTTAAAGAAACGTCCTGAAAACAATGCTTCAAGGCACATTGTCTGTAACTTCCTAAAGTTCGAACTTCTTCATTGTGCTGTCTCACAAATGAGCCAAACAATACTGAAAAGTCAATTCAGGGGTATGACGGGCAGTTAATTTTCTAATAAAACGATCTGCAGTAATCTGTATTCCAGAGGCCTCTCTCCTCCCGGTCTCTCATGTGACCCCTGACACAGAAGCACAAAGCATGATCCCACCAGGAGGGACAGGGAAAACCGAAATCAGGGTCCAGGACCCAAGGCTATCAGGCTACCCATGCAAGTAATAATAATA